TATTTATTTTTATTAAGGATTCACACCTGAAATCAAATAATTTCCAAACCAAGGAAAAACGGAAAAGACCGATCTACCCCTCATTCTGGGAAATTTCTTCACACGACTCCATTTTTAAGAAGACCACACACAGTCACATACGCCGTCTCCCCAAAGCTCCCGAAGAAAAATGAATTCCCCACTGCTGCTCTTGCTTTTCGTCTTCTTCACCCTGTCCCATGCTAATTCCATCACTAACCTCCAAATTGAATTCCCTCAACCTCTCAAATCCTTCAGCATCAACGAAACCCAGGTATGACTTTTTAATTCCCAAAAGTAGCTTTTAGATGGAAAAATTAATATAATCTCAACTTTTTTGATAGGATAAATGAGATTTTCTTCTGTTGTTTTCATAGAATGGAGTCCGGAGCTGTTCATACACTGTGAAATTCATAACAAGTTGTTCTTCAACAGTCTACACTCGAGATCAGATCAGTCTCTCTTTCGGCGATGCTTACGGTAATCAGGTCAGTCACTCGTCATCAACAGCGATTGCGTAACCATTTTCTGATTTTAGGGATTTTTTATTAGAGACTGATGATTTTTGTAGTGAACGATTTCAGGTATACGCACCGAGATTGGACGATCCGGCGTCTAGAACATTCGAGAGGTGCTCCACGGATACGTTTGAAATAGCTGGGCCGTGTACGTATCAGGTCTGCTATCTGTACCTCTACAGAAGCGGATACGACGGGTGGAAGCCGGAGAGCGTGACGGTGTACGGGTATTACACCAGCTCTGTTACCTTCTACTACAATACTTTCATTCCTAACGGGATTTGGTATGGATTCAATCGTTGTAATGGCGCCTCTGCATCTGCGATGTAAGTAGCCAATCAGGAGACATTTTGCTTGTTCTTTGTGGCCAGATCTTGGACTTTTTGTATTTCGTTATTCAGGATTCTCTCGAGATCGGAACTCGAATCTGGGTTAATAAAAATTTGTTGTCCTTTTGATTAGTAATTACTGGCATTAATGAAGGAGATGTTAAATTGGGCTGTTGGCAATTATTGGACACAAACTGCGCAGCCTGTCTTAGGGTCATTTGGACCAACAGGATGTCCTAAAAGCCTTTTTAAAATGAGAAATTTTCTAGTTAAACGTGACAATGCGCAGTGGCTTACTCTCCAGTCACGATTATGGATGGACAGCTGTTCAAATTAATTCAAGATCAAGGAGTAAATTTTTCGGATTAGTAGTTTTTTTTTTTTTTTTTTTGGATTAGTATACCCCAAAATAACTTTACAATTTAAAATGTATTACACCAAATGAAAATAAATTTTTTAATATTAAAAATACTTTTTTATTTAATAATTTTTTATTTATAATTCAATATAATTTAAACAATTAATAAAAAAACTCTTGGCATGTTAAAAACACTTACTTATATTTAAATAGTTTGACAAACACGTCTTTAAATAGTGTTTTGAAAAAAAATTAGATATAATCTTTTATAAGTTTTTTTATTTTGTAATTTAAATTTTATAATAAAACATAAATCATTAAATGAGAAAGCAATCTCAATATTAAAAGATTTACCTCTGTTTAATAGTTTATATTTTTTATTATTTATAAAAAATAAATTTAGATAATTAAATTGCTATAGCATTTAAAAAAAAATTAATTTAAAGTATTATCATTAATATACATCATACCATATCTACAGAATTAAAGAATGCTTAGGCGTAGCATTTCTTTTGAAAAACAAGCATTAAAAACTTCATTAGTAGGTGTAACAAACAAGAAGCAGTTGGCACTTGGGCCTCATGGCCCAACGGTCATAGGCTGACTTGTAAAGTGCATCTTTTTAGCCCGAGGGTTGAGGTTCGATTCCTCCCTCCCCCATATTTGTAACTTTGTTAAAAAAAAAAAAAACCAGAAGCAGTCGAAGCAGTTGCCCAAAGCACGCACCGAAAAAAGGATTGAACCAGAGAAGGGAAGAACACAATCCATGCCTCTAGACAACAAACAATTCTGCATCTCAGCAATTCAGCTGCATTTTTCAGGACATATCATACAAGCTCTCAAACGAGTCATGTAGGCACAAGCATAATAACCAGCTCTATATATATCCAATTGTTGCAAGTCAAGGTATCCAGACCTACTAAGATGACAGCCGAGCTTCCAACATCAAGATAGTAAAACCTAATCCAATCCCTTGGATTTTGAAGAGATTTGATAAACATACCCCATTCAAGTTTGGTAGACGAAAATCAAGTTAGAATCTCCACCTTCTTCATTTTTCCAGTCTTCTCCCGTTCAGAAAGATCACACCATCACATTATCAGAATATCCCATCGAGGTATTTCTCTATCTTGTATAAAAAAGATAGATATATTTGAGATTTGTTAACATTTCCATACTAGAGGACATCTTTGATGAATACAGCATCATCTTTGAATGCTTACATTTCATCTAACAACAAAGGGATTTGGTAGTGACATTTCCTAATTTGGAGATGGAACTTGGTAGACTACTTGGGTTATAAATATAGGAAAGATCAAGAATCTTTAGCCCAAGCATATGCTCAAACAAAGATTCTGAAATTGTTAATTAATTACCTAAAAGTAATAAAATTTATATTTTTTAACATATATCAATCTATTGCTATTTAAGAAAATCTTTTCAAGGTTTTCTGTCCATTGTTCCTTGTTTATGCAATAGATCGAGTACCTGCAATACATAATCTTTATAAGGTAGTTGTTGATGGATACTTTAAAGTATAAAAGAGTCATGAATAATAGAGAAGGAAGCAAACCCATGATGCGCAATGCCATGTCTCTCAAAAGATCATGCATCTTCCATGCTCATTAACTCCATTTCGAATGTGTTCCAACAAGCAATTCTTTTCAAGCTTGGGATTGCACGGTCTTCAGGATATAGTGAGCATGTGTATGATCTTCCTTTCATGCAAGTTGTTATTATAACAATTGCAAAGGGAAATCCATCGTACTCATTGTTAACGCACTTCATGGCATTCATTTTTCCGATACCACACATCCCCAAAATTCCAAACAACCATCCCAACATTTGTAATTTAATGACATCCCTACCTCGCAAGTCCAATGTTGGCAGGGCAATCAAATTTGCAGATAACTCACCATCATCACATATTTCATTCATTTCTTCAATCACGCCACCAGTAACCTAAAGGTAAAAAACACTATGGTTAAATAACAATTTATGCTCAAGATAATCAAATAACATACAAAGCATAACTTCAATTGGTCATCACCGAATCTTAAATTTGGTCACTTAAAATTTTGATTTGGATTATGGTAGATTGCATATGGCCTCCTCGCTAATTTAAAAGGAAGCATGACATGGGAGGACAGTCTACTTCTTGCTTGCACTAATTTTCTTGGCAGAATACCCAAATCCACCTCAAAATATAATGACAGGACGGATACATCCCAAATCAAAAAAGGGAACAAATCCACCTATAAAGTTTTCGATTTGAACAAATCACCCAAATTTAACTGTGATGTCATTTAACATTAACAATTCATTAATTTGACATCATTTGATGTCAACAATCCATTATTACTAGTTATTGGCGACATAATAAATTAGCAAATTATTGACATCAGTCACATGTTAAATTTGGGATGATTTGTTCAAATCAAAAACTTCGTAGTGAATTTATACCCATTTTTTGTTCAAAGATAGATCCGAACCTGCCATTGTACTTTACGGGTGGATTTGGGTATTTTGCCAATTTTCTTACTCTTTATAATGTTATGGGTTATTCTCACCTAATTGCTTCACCTTGTTAGAAGAAAATTGATGTACGTAATAAGAAATGGTAATACTGATAGCAATTAGTTAGGTTTCTCCCCATTAAACCGAAGATAGCCTAGGGGTTTTGTTAAAGTAGTAACTAAATTGAATGTTACACATCTTCTTCAATGATTTCGAAGAGGATTACAGACAGATCTGGAAAGGGATATATATAATCCTAAATCAAATAATACAAAATTAAAAATATGCCTTGTGAAGAAAATTTAAAGCAGGAGATTCACCTGATCTAAGCGACTTCTTCAACTTCAGATTGTAGATTGCTTGCCCTTAGATCGAATCTTGGCTTTCAGTGATTTTACGAAGAGGGAGAAGATGAAGCACCGGCATGCGGTCAAGAGGTGGGTCTTTGTAACTCTACTCATTGCAGAGCTATTTATATACCAATTAAAAAGGTCTGGGGTCCCAACTGCCAACCCTCAAAGAAATGAAGTAGGTGGAAAACTTTTTATTGTAAATTTGCTGGGGACATTGTTTTTGCCGTGCGGATTATTTTAGGTTATAAAATATGAATC